TCAACAGAGCGGCCATCTTGGTACAGGCACAAGCGGATTTGTAGATGTCAGACGTTTGTGCTGTGTACAGGTGTAGTAATGAGCAAACAAACAAATAAACAAAGCATAAAAACAGAACACTCTAGAAAATATTAGTTTTTTATGATTTTGCATGTCACAAAATGCTGTGCTCAACAAATAACGTTATACAATCACCGGCCACTTTATTAGGTACACCTTACTAATACAGTCTTGGGCCTCTTTTGCCTTCAGAACTGCCTTAATCCTTCATGGCAGAGATTCAACAAGCTACTGGAGATATTTCTCAGAGATTTTGCTCCATATTGGCATGATAGCATCACACAGTTGCTGCAGATTTGTCGGCTGCACATCCATGATGCCAATCTCCCGCTCCGCCACATCCCAAAGCTGCTCTATTGGATTGAGCTCTGGTGTCTGTGGAGGCCATTTGAGGTCAAATGAGGCAAGCATAGTCAGGAAGTCATTAGCTTGTGTACTTTCAATGTGGATGTTGAAGTCACCTAGCACCAACAAGGGAGTGTCATAATCAGAATAAGATGAGAGAAGAACTTCCAGTGACCTAATGTACCCGGTGGGCGGTAGATGACAGCCACATTTATCTAGAAGGGGTGGATAATGGTGACTGCATGGTATTCAAAGGAGCTGATTTTTGTCAGGGACGGTCTCCGAGTAAATTTACATGCTTTGGAAATTAGTAGTCCAGTCCCACCCCCTCTTCCTGTCTGACGAGGAGTGTGGGAAAAAGAGAAATTAGCAGAGAGAGCTGTGTAGCAGTGTCCTCCGGTCTCAACCAGGTCTCAGTTAGAGCCATGAGATTATAGTCAGAATGTGGAGCTATGGAGTTGTTGATGATTTGCTCAAATAGCTTTGAGAAGGACTCTTCTTATATTAGTCATAGCAGTGTAATGCATGGAGCACTTGACTGTACCAATATGGCGGCTGTATTGACACATGCTCAATACCCGTATGCAATATCTAGTGTATAAATCTATGAACGATGATGACAAAGCAGCAGATGGGGGTTGTCTACATCAGGATGTTGTTGGCACAGCAATATCACACACACACACACACTCACTCTCTCTCACACACACACACACACACACTCCTGGCAGCGCTGAACTGACGCCGTGGGCCGTTTTGAACATCATTGATGATATTAAGCTGGAATAATTGAGCTGCTGATTGCTGCTTCACAGCAGTCAATGAGATTATGTTCTGTTGATCGCTCGTTAACAAACCAAAAGCATGATTATGAAAATCACATCCTGCTGTCTGGAATGCATAGAAATATTCCACAGAGTCATACTCCATTACGTAAAGTGCAGATCAACAATAATAGCCTGATCCCATGTGATGTCTGCAGTTTGACATAATGAGTAATTCACACGCGTCTTTTAGCGTCTCTGAAGACGCTGTCGCACATTAAACTAAAATACTCTCAAACACAGAAACATCCTGCTGAGAAGTTCATTATTATTCTAAATATCCCAGTTGCAGTCCCAGTAATGCCAGTTGTAAGAGCAACAAATACTTGATTTCTAGTTGATGATGTGTAAAAGTGTCAGAAGGTGGATTTCTCTGCTGGATCATCTGCTGATCTGCATCCCAATCATCACCAATACTGCAGAAGACCTACTGGAACCAGCATGGACCAAGATTCACACAGACCTCAGTCAAGTTTGGTGAAGGAGACATCATGGTTTGGGGTTCATTCAGTATGGAGAGATCTGCAACATCAACAGCCTGAGGTATCAAGACATCTGTGCTGCCCATTACATTACAAACCACAGGAGAGGGACAATTCTCCAGCAGGATAGTGCTCCTGCTCATACTTCAGCCTCCACATCAAAGCTCCTGAAAGCAGAGAGTGCTCCAGGATTGGCCAGCCCAGTCACCAGACATCAACATTATTGAGCTGATGAAGGAGGAGGTGTTGAAGATGAACACAAAGACTCTTGATGAACTCTGGGATCCTGCTGAAGGCTTTCTTCTTCATTCCAGATGACTTTATTAATCAGTGATGTGAGTCATGTCAGAGATGTATGGATGCAGTCCTCCAAGCTCATGATGGAGTCAGACACAATATTCATTCTGTCTCCACTGCAGCAGGACTTTATATTCTATACTGGACATTATTTCTGTTCAGTGATGAGACTTTAGTCTGAGCAGAGTCAGAGCGCACTGTCCTCATCAAATCAGTCAACATCAAGACATGATCAGATTTATTGAGCTCAAATCAGCAAAATCTAGAGGCCTTCACCTTTCATAGAGACACTTCTGACACCAAATCACCAACTAGAAGAGCAGATATTATTAGCTGTTGCTAAAACTTGCACATAGGCCACAAGACTTTTATCAGGTAGTGTAAAAGGGCTAATAATATTAATAACATCACTTTTTTTCCAAAAAAAAATAAAATAAATAAAAATTCCTTTAAATAAAAATAAAAATTAAATAAAAAATAATATTTTAAAATCCCTTAAAATAAAAAATAAGACTTTATCCAGGATAAAATAAACTATAATTGCAAGTATGAAAAAGGCTCTTACTCTATTAAACATCACTTATTATTATTATTTATATTGTCATTTTGGTTGCTTTAGCACATCAAGCAAAACAAAACGAGATATTTCCTTGGCATGTAGCTGAAATAAACATACGTTTTAAAATATATTTAACATTGTTTATTTATATTTTATGTAGTAAAATGTGGAACTTAATGTGTAATTTTGTTTGCTGAAACTCAAGCTCTGTAAACAGCATCTGTGTGTCGATTACTACTGTCATCTGTTAACTTCACACCAGTGATCAAAAGACTGTCAGCAACACAATCGATGAAGGCTAACTCACATTCATACTGATGAACAACCTTTAAGTGATTTAAGACTGAGGTATATTATAAGAGCATATTTCAGCCAAGAGAGACAGTGTAATCGGTTATCTAACAAAAACTATGAACTCGAACTTGAGTGAATCCCACAGCCTGATTGACATTTGCTCAGCCAATGGTGGGGGTTTCTGGGCGGGGCTTAAATTGAGTCATTATTATCAAATATTGTTCGGCTTTTGTTACATTCTAAAATCACTGGCCACTTTATAAGGTACACCTCACTAGTATCGTGTTGGACCCCTTTTGCCTTCAGAACTGCCGTAATCCTTCATGTTGTAGATTCAACAAGCTACTGGAGATATTCCTCAGAGATTTTGCTCCATATTGACATGATAGCATCACACAGTTGCTGCAGATTTGTCGGCTGCACATCCATGATGCCAATCTCCCGTTCCACCACATCCCAAAGCTGCTCTATTGGATTGAGCTCTGGTGACTGTGGAGGCCATTTGAGTACAGTGAACTCATCGTCATGTTCAAGAAACCAGTCTGAGATGATCGAGCTTTATGACACGCTGCGTTATCCTGCTGGAAGTAGCCATCAGAAGATGGAGACACTGTGCTCATAAAGGGATGGACATGGTCAGCAGCAATACTCAGGTAGGCTGTGGCGTTGATGCTCAATTGGTACTAATGGAGCCAAAGAAAATCTCCCCCACACCATTACACCACCACCACCAGCCTGAACCACTGATACAAGGCAGGATGATCATCAGAGCAGCAACGTTTCTCCAATCTTCTATTGTCCAGTTTTGGTGAGTCTGTGTGAATTGTAGCCTCAGTTTCCTGTTCTTAGCTGACAGGAGCGGCACCCGGTGTGCTCTTCTGCTGCTGGAGCCCATCCGCCTCAAGGTTGGCCGTGTTGTGTGTTCAGAGATGCTCTTCTGCAGAGCTCGGTTGTAACGAGTGCAAACCCAGTACCATAAAGGTGCACATGTAAACACAGAGCTTAACTTACCGGTATCCTCCTGTACACTCCATCATCATCATCATCATCATCATCATCATCATCAGCAGTCATTATGAGCAGAAATCACACACACTGAAGATAAACCAGGCAGAGGCGATCGTCAATTATACTCCATTATTTCTGCATTCAAAACATCTTTACAGTAAAATAGATTTCAGCATTATCACACTCTTTTGTTGCATTCACAAATGCAGTATAAATAATCTGATAATAAAATATCCCCGTCCCCATTACAGCAGAGAGAAGAAGAGAGGTTCTGTCAATCAAGAGCAAATATATACACACAGCATCAGAAATCAGGTAAAAGAGTGTCTGTGCAGTAAAAGATCAGGTGCAGGAAATAGAGGAGAGTCTCTGCTACATCAGAATCACACACACACGCAAAAACACACAAACACACACACACACACACACATTCATGTGAACATGCATGCAAACACACACTTATGCATGATTGAATGCATATACACACATAAGCACAATCACACGTCGGGGTACACACACACGCACACACATGTAAATTCATGCATGCGCACACACACACACGCGCAAATACATACACTTGCACATGCATGCATGTGCGCACACACACACGCACACGTGAACAAACCATGCATGCACACACGCACAAGAGCACATGCACGCACAAACATAAACACACACACAAACGCACACATTCACATGCAAGAACATATATTCACATGGACATGCATGCACACACACACTTTTATGCACGCATGTTCACACAAGCACACTCATCATGGGACGCACTCACAAACACATGCAAATATATTTACTTGCACATGTACACGTACACACACACACACAAACACACACACAAACACCCTTACAGTCGCACCCAGTTATGAATGTACATGCACACTCACAAGTAAATGTATGCACGCACACACACGCACGCACATTTGCAAGCACACTCATATGCACAATCGCGCTCATGCATACACACACATGCGAACTTGGACACACTTTAGCATGCACATGTGTGTAAATGCATGCATGCACACACTCATGTGCATAAGCATTCATGCACACACACACACACACACACGCAAATACATTCACGTGAACATGCATGCACACACACACTTTTATGAACACGTATGCATTTACATACAGGCACGCTCACACAGTGTATACTTGCACACACACTCATGTGCACACATGCATTCAATCGCACTCATGCATACACACACGCATACCTGGACACACTTGCACACACACTCATGCATGCACATGTGTGTAAATGCATGGC